TCAATATTGAAATGCGATTCAACTTTCCGACATTTGAGCTCGAAAACAAAATTCCAAAAAAAGAAATACTGCAACATGTCCATATTCCATTTATTCATCCTTCGATGAGGATAACCGTCAACTTGGATTAGAGAGCTCATTTTGGCGATTAGCAATAGAAAATTGAACAATAGTAATATGCTAAATAGTAGGGACAAGAGTTACAAGACCCTGCTGTACAGACGGTACATTTGCAGGTTTGGTTGCCATTCTCTCCTTGGCAATCTCCCTTCTGACAGCCTCGTAACTTGCACTCCTCACTACAGGCAGGCACACCCGCAATTTGACAACTGTCAACACCATCTACGCTCTCCCACAGAGAAGGAAGGATCACCATCACTACCAGCAACATCGTAGTCATCTGTGTCTTCCCCATTATTCTTCTCGCACTCTGCAAGAAATACAAACAAAATATGTACTTTTTTTTGCATATTTCTGAGTTCTCTTGTGTTCATCAACATGTCATTGGAAAATTTTTAATACGTAGAAATTCTTTTTTTTTGCGATTTCCTTGAAGCTGTTAAAGCAACAACCATACATGTTATGAGGCAAAGAAAATCTCCTTGTGCAATTCCCTCGTACCATGAAGGTATCCTCTGTTCCTGTATGAAGTCATGACGTGAAGGAACAGGATAGAAATCATGTTTTACACGTGAATCATGAGATCAATATATTTTTAAAATTTCATTTGATATATGTAAGGAAATCTCCAATAGACAAGAAAGTACATGTTATATAGATGCGTAAATGCGATTATGGAAGACACATCAGGAGAAGGTATTTGAAACGATCCATGAATTTACCATGCAATGATGCCCATCAATCCTTAGCAGTTGGAAAATTTCATAAGCTCTTGCCCTGTCTTATGAAGATACGGACGATCAGAAAAGGGGTACCAGTTGCATGCGTCGTGTGAAGGAAGCGATGGGTGGTTGAAGCTCAAGTCTTCCTGTTCACGAAGTCACAGGCGGTTTGCGGTGTCGGTGTGAGCGCGGCCGGGACTTATATAGTGTTCCATCCATGTTTTCCGCCTGTCACAGGCGTAGATTCTTCTGCGTATGTGTGCACACCCGGAAAGCGGATGCAGGTTTCCAATAGTCAACCATAATGGGACAGTTCGGTAGATGAGTACATAGTAGCAGCTTCATACGAGAACGCTGTCTCCTCAAGTCTGTTTTTTCCATTAGCACATGCATGTATCAACTGTGAAGTGCTCATACTCTAGAGAAGACTCATGTTTCTACATTATGTAAATCCAAAATAACATGTCGGAACTGAATCCAAGAAATACATTTATATAAATGATCACCTGCTGTGAACACCTTCGCAGCGACGGTTTCAAAGTCATTAGTCTTCATGTAGCATATATGATTCCATGAGTATAATAATAAATACTACAGTCCATTACTATTCAAATCCACTTTAACACAGGATTTTCCAAGTTTTTCATAGGAGCTGGGTATGGAGTTCATGTATTGTCACAAATTTCGATATCTAGCTTCTTCTTAAGAGAAATGCCTCGTAAGGTTTTTCATTCAATCGCTCCATCCCTTTCACGCGGACGAATTTCCAACGGACTCACCCTTTTGAAACGAGTGTAGTTTAGAAACGCGGAACATGAATATTTTGCGGTGTAACGTGCTCATTCTCCATCGACCGATGATATAGGGTTATTTACAAGGGACGACATCGAGGACGACGACGCTCGGATCTGGCATGGAGATGTAATGTTCAACATTTGAAGCCAACTCTGCGTTATATTCTCTGTGAAGACTGCAAACAGCCGGAAAAAAACGTTTCAACCGAGAGAATCGAATCTGCATTCCAGTGTCCACATGTAAAAATAAATTTGTTAAGGTCGAAACTTTAACGTCTGAAAACTAATTTGTGAAGAAAACTGTCCAACAAAACTCCAAGAAAACTGTCATAATTTTCTGGGTAAGGAAAGCATGGGGAATGCCACTTCGCCTTTGCAGAAAACAGCACATTTAGCTGTCTTCATTTGTTGAATTTGCCGGCATCCAACGACGACATGCAATTTTCATTCCAACCTTTTTGGTTTGATATCGGCACTCTAACTTTTAAAAGGGGTATTGGAAGGCATAAGTGAACCGTGCTTATCGGGTTTTATTAGCGTCTCTTCGAATACCGTTTGTTTATTTTACGGAAAAGCCTATGCCTTTCTTTGTAATTGCCCAAACAAGAAGCAATCAAAAGTTTCGTCAGCTAAGACGCCATATTCTTGGGATTGAGGAGATCCCAGTCGCAATTTAAAGGTTGGGAGAGCCACTCACCCCAGTGGACCCTCTCTAGCGCCGTTCACTCCCTTATATTTGCAGGCCTCAAAAATGGAACGCTGTGTAGGGGGCTCTAAACAGCGCTGCAGACAATGGAAGAATAACGCGCAAGCTCTTAGTGGCTCTTTTTTGAGCATGCAGGGAACGTTTGTTTTCAATTTTCTTGCGATTGAGATGTGGATGCCTGCACTCGTCTCCGCAAGATATTGTGCCGTGTTGCGATGCCAGTCCATTCCTAAATACTTAGTTAAAGTCAAAGAAGCGCACATTGTATGATGACAAGTGCATACGTCTATTGCGCATGGGTTCGTTTCTTTCCCTTCCGGACCCACTTTTAACAGCTGGTACTCTCCATGCATGATATGCGTAGGGAGGGATATTGCGTATGTGGCAGAACATCTGCGTTATTCCTTGGCACTAGGCTACATGTCGAGCGAGGGGAAAGAAAATATTTTTTTTTTTAAATCAGACTTCCTAAAATTTATTCGCGCCCTTACTCCTACAAACATGAGAAGGAAAAATAACATGAAGCGGGTGGCTTTTCGAAGGGCACAAAAACTTTACCCTTTACTTCTTTTTGGTTCAAAAGAAAGCAAACAAATATTATTTTTTTCATTTAGAGCAATGTCCCATTCTCAGAAAAGAGTCGATGAAGGGTAAAAATTGGTCCCGGACATTTATCCCTTGGCATATGGATTCATCCGGAAAATGAAGAAGCTATAAAGTGATATAAAGAATGAGGATGAGATGAGATGGAACAATTTCAGATCGATAACTTAAGTACGGTTGGCATTTTTATTTGTGCCACTATGACAGGCATGGGTCATGTTATCTCATGTCCTCTTCCCAGGAATATTTTCTACGAAAAAAGACTACATGTGACAGATTATGAGCTTCTCATCGTCTCACATTACGGATATACCATGACGTCTTCTGGCAACAAGACGACCCTTGGACCATAACCAGTACCACGTTGTAAATCTTTATTTTTCATTTTGTGCTTTGTGCATGATGGCATATATCCTAATTTTGAAACGGTTTCTCAATCCCAACAACCAGTCTGTTTAAAAGTTTTCATGAAGTCTTCATAATGATGAAATGTAGTAGTTTTGAAAGGTTTGCTCGTACGCTCAAGAATGTGGGAAATCCATCAATCGACTTCATATTCACCTTGTATTTATAAATGCGGAATCCCGTTCCATGTTTCAGATGAACTCGAAGTATCTGTCCCACACGGAGAATCAATATGGACTGTTTAAAATGTCTTTTTTCATTTAAATCAAAGGGTTCAAGCGTTCCATCGAAACACGTTATGGATTGTTCAAGTAACTACTTTGCAAGTCCGCGGTAGCATTGTTTTGAACATGCATGCTGAGCCTTGCACGCATGACTTGCGACTGCAGCAAACGTAATTAATTTTCGCGCGATAGAGATGGCATCCTAATGGACGATGAAGACAAAGCTCACAGGACATTCCTGTTCCAGGACTTCTTAAAAGGGAGAGCATCGTCCGGATAGTGTGACCGGAAAGTTCCCCATACTTCAGTATGGGGAACTATCCATAATGCAGTACCCTTTTATGTAACATTATGTTGTATTATGTTTCTGCCGATATCATATCACTCATCATAACTCTCACATCCTATTTTTTCCATGTATTTTCATTGGACAGAAGGTCGATATACGAATTAGTAATCTTCTGGCCCAAGATGGGACCAACAGGTTTTTAAAACAGCTGTCAAGTTGAAAATTTGAGGATGTGTTGGCCATGCAAAACATTCATTTGTAACAAAACTTAAACGACCTTATTGCCACATTAAAGAAGGCCGAAAGAGAGTCCCCAGCAAAATAATATGTGCGTTCGGGGAGAACTACATTTAGTGCTTGTTCTTGCACTCTGAACCCAATTCGATCAAACCCCCTGATCCATTTTCTTTTTTAGATGATCGAAAGACGTCACCTTGCCTCGAAAAGCAAAGTTCCCATCCTCCTGATCACAATCAAGCTCGTATCTTTTCTGTGCATACCACGAATGCAGTACCTCTTATGTTGAGACAAGTTCCTTTTCAATATTAATACAAAGTATTCTCCGCATTGATTGCAGCATTGAATAGACGAATACTCTTCAAAAGCTCTTCCAAGGAAAATAAGTAAAATTTGTACATCTTAAACGCTATCCTCTCGCTGCTATCTAAATCGAACAGATGGAAGCGGGTGCGGATGGAAGCGGACTTCCACATTCAATTGATAGTTAAGTTGATAGGCAAAGAGAGACGGTTTTAGCTAAATTTGAGTTCAATATTGAGAATTACGAAACCTGCGGAATGTGAGCCTCACTTATGTTGTGCAGTTTTTAAATGTGCAGGGAATGGTTTGGGTCGGGGGAAGGGGGGTGGAACTAAGAAAAGGAAAGCCATGATTATATTATTTATTAAAAGTGTAATATCATCACCATCATGAGATATACAGAAGACGATTTAAAAAAAAAACAGTAGCGATATGGAGCTACATGTTCATGAGGATAATAGTTCTTTCCTCTTCTAGAACGAGGAAGGAAAATGCTACAGGTCAGGACTGGCTAGGGTCGGCAATCAGGACACTAGATCAGTTTTCCGTGTCTGCACGTGTACGCAGCAGCATCTACGCCTGTGACTAGCGGAAAACATGAGTGGATTTCCATATAAGATCGAGCCGCTCTCACCCGTCACCACAAACCTCCTGCGACTTCACCAGGAACACTTGTTTCTCAACCAACGATCGCTTACTTCGTACAACGCATACAACAAGTAGACATTTTCTGAGTTTCTGTATCTTCTGCAAATAGCGCAAAAGCGAAGATGATTTTCCAACTGCTCAATATTGATAGGGCAACTTGGCATGCCCAATTAAAAAATCCTCTAAAAGAACTTCCCCCGATATAGTTTTGCATCTTCATTTTCTTCATATCGTCAATTGGAGATACCCCTACATATATGGCAGAAAACTATATATTTTGATCTCATAATTAATTTAGAATACATGATTTCCAATATGTTCCTAGTTTCATGATTTCCTACGTGAACAGATGATACCTTCATGCTACGATGGCATGGCATTTAGAAAGTTTGGCAGCCTAAAGATCGTATGCGATATTTGTTTGAACAACTTTAAGAAAATCGAAAAAAGTATTTTTTATGTATTAAAACTTCTCAATGACATGTGTTAGCACTTTTGAACTCATGAGATCTCATAGAAATCCAAATGGGCGTTAGTATTTGATATGAATATGTTGCAGGGTGTGAAGTGAAAATGGGGAAGATCCAGATGGTTGGATTGCTGCTGGCAGTGATAGTGATCATTGCTTGTCTGTGGGAGAGCGTGGATGGTGCAGACAGTTGTCAAGTTGGAGGCGCGACAGCCTGCAGTGATGAGTGCAAGAAGCAGGGTTGTCAGAAGGGAGAATGCCAAGGCGAGAATGGCAGCCAAGCCTGCAAATGCACCGTCTGTCCAGCGGCGTCTTGTCCCTCGTGTCCCTATTATGCTGCATATATATATTGTCGATGGTTGTTTTGTTAATCGTTAGGTTGAGTGCTCTATTTCAATTTGACGATTTCCATCCTCTAAGAAAGAATAAATGGGAAATGGATGTGCTATAGTATTGGTAATTTATTTAAATTTCTTAGCATTAGGACAATTTCATTATGAACTTTGTTGCTGCACTCTAATGAAACTGGAGAAAGCTCTCAAGTTCACTTTCGCCATCCTCGAGGAAGCAGGAACATGGAGACTTTCACTAATTATTTAAGTTATATCAGTTAGGTTCCCTCAGACAGTTTATTTTCTTGAGTGTGTGATTTGAAAGTAACTAATGATTCGGAATCCTTATTCGCTTTTCTCAATCCTCCATCTATAAAAAGCCATCCGTTTGGGTTGTTCATTTACGTAGCAAAAATTTTCCAATATAAATTTGTGGAGGAATTAAATGTGGATTTATTGGGCACACAGGATCCCACATGTCAATAATTAATACTTTTCTAAAACTTAGAAGCGACACGATGAATAATCGGTTTAGCACGGTGGTAGATTGACGCCATCTTTGTGCTGTTTTTAGTACTGGACTGAAAGGAGGACTAACTCCTTGTTCTCTTACCCATGGTTTTCTGGCGAATGATCATTTGTTTAATCTCTCAAACGAGGGGTGCAACCTTCCTTAAAGTCGACTTTTTTCATGACACAGATTAGTGCTGTGTTCGATTCAGAACCATGTCACACAGCGCCATCTTCGTGTACACTTCTTGGATATCTATCTACTGTTCAGAACTCTTTAGGTCATTCATGCTGAATTCCTGCGACTGGTACTTAAAAGGATTCTAATATTTCCTTTCGTGATAACCTCTCACTCCTCGGGATTTCCTCAATCACTGTTGGAGTGCAGTTAACGCTCCTGTCTGACATGACCTTTATTTAGTCTCTTAAGAATTAATCTAAGCATAGGTTTAAGTCTGGTTAGGCGTCATGACTTCTATAGATTCCGGGAGATATCGAAGGTTATGATGTTCTAAAAATAATTGTTTTACCTGGGGGGCTCCATTGGTAGCGGTCCCACTGCCAGTAGAGTCTACACTTGCTCTCTCAGCAATCAGTTACTTCTTGAAATTCGTGTCTTCCTTTCCTAGGGGTTGGAATGAACGCAACCAAGAAATTTCACACATTTTATTTCATTTCTCACTATTCATTTCTATTTCATTCTGGTATTTCCCCCTCCTCCCAGCTCCTTTTTGTGATTTCCGATGGACAACTTTGCTTTGCAAAAAAGCAATTAGATTGCGGTATATTTAGGTCTTGTGTGTTGGCCCCTGTACCGTCCCCCAAGTTATGAGGAATATCCTTCGGGAGTCATGTTGGATTCGTTAATGTAACAGGATTCGTATTAGTGCTTTGTTTTGGGAAAAGGCATCTCCCTTACATTGGTATGATTTGGCTTGTGTCTCCATCGCATTTGACCTATAGAGTCCATAGGAGGCTGGCATCCTAACATTTTTTCGTTTTTTTTTTCTGCAGCCATGAGCCTGATTCGAAGTAATTATCATTTTTGCGAAGAAAAAAATCATCTGGATCAATATGACACAAAAAGGTATTTAAAACTGTTGTCAAATTCAACTTTGGATGGCGTGTAGTCTTTCACAAGCAATCTTATGGAACAGAACTGAAACGACCATATGGCTTTACTGAAAAATGCTAAAAGTCAGTCCACTGCACAAAACTGCTTTCGTCCATGGGGGAACAACCCTTAGCGATTGCTTGTACCCTATGAACCCAGTTCAAACGAACCACCCCAGGCATGAGACTTCATAGAGCAGAACACATTCAGCCAATGGTTTTATTTGATGGTTCAATGTCGACTAAATATAGGTACTGCAGATATAGTGGGAGCGATGCGAACCTGGCCAAAAATGCCAACAATATGTGGAATTCGTGTGTAACCAGAGAATCTATCTGTTCCACATGTGCTCGTCACACTTCTAAAAAACTCCCACCTCTGTATTCCTCAAAATTGAAGTGTGATACAATTTCCTGATATTTGACGTTGAAAACAGATTTACAAAAGTAAAGCGATTCCGAGACACAAACATTTTCCATTTATTCATCCTTGGAGGACTAGAACTGTCAACTTGGAATTTAGACCTTATTCTGACTATTAGAACAACAATTTGAACAAAAGTAAAAAAGTGAACAATGCTAAATAGTAGGAACAAGTCACAAAATCCTGCTGTACAGACATCGCGTTTTGATTTCAAGACATTGCTGTAAATCGAATTGGCAATTTGATACTTGACAACACAGTAGTGGCTCCATACGAGTCAACTGTACTTTTCCCGTCTGCTCTTTCATATGGCTATTCACGTCTCTACTGTCGAGTTCATTTGCACCAGGATGACTCATGGTAGTAGATCCTTGTTTAACAGGAGTATGATTCCTGTGGATTAAAAATAGATTTAGTGATGGTAATTTTTCGTTACTTTTGCCATGACTCCTTCTAACAGAGATTCGTAAGCTATGCAATCAAACGAAAGAAATTCTCTAATGAAAGATATATAATACAGAACTCTTCTTGATTAACTGTAGGTTGAATTGGATTTAATCCGGAGAATATGCAATACATACCAAAGCTGGTCCACAATTGCCTCCCCAAAAGTAAAAGCTTATTGCTCAGGAATTATACATCCGATTTCAATTATATATGACTGAAACGATAGCCAATTCAATATATTTTCATTCTAAAATATTTCCGAGTTCTATAAGAAACTTCAACAAAGTTACATCCTTGTAAACGAAAGCCGCCATACCATTAATGTTGAATGTGACTTCCACAATTTTCAATGACTTGGTGCAGTCTCTCTTTGAATGCCAGCAGAATTCTTTCAATCATCATTGGTCCTACTGTGGTGAAGGCATCTCTAATGGCCTGTTTCAGCATATCTAGGTTGTCATAGGTCAGCCGATATATCTCTTCTGGTTCAGAAACTTCTTATGAATTGCCTTCATGATTTCATCAGGAACTGAGGCTTTTGGATCCAAATTAAAGAAATTTCCCAATTTTTTCCCGAACAAAATTTCCTATCTTCAATTTATCAAACCAAATGGGAATATTCATTTTCTTAAGGATATTTAGATCACCCGTGACACAGACAATCCCTCGCATGGCATGAAAAACCCACGAATGAATTGCGAATTTCATAAGGGATTGTGAGATTTACAGGCTTTAGTTGCACGATACGGGATATGTTATGGCGTAACTTTGTTCTATATTTTTATGGAATGCTGAAATTTTCCACAGAAAAAATTAATTGAACTGGCAATCGTTTGTGTCATATATCACTGAAATCCGATGTATACTTCCTGAAAAGTGAGCGTTTACTTTTGGGAGGCAATTGCGGACCATCTTATACATATACGAATAAATATAATGGGTCGAGGCCTGACCACAATGGAATGCTCCAAGAAGGTCTACCCTTGGCGTCTCCCCTGAGCCAAGTCAACCCTAAACTGGAAGAACGTTCCTAAACCTTGTTCAGCCAATAATTTTTCTAGCGCAACGAAATTGAATGTGTAGTCCTGCATCGCAGATGTAAAAAGCCTCCGTCACGTGCGTCAAGGCCATACCAGTATTGCAATATCTACTGTATCTACGTTTCAACCAACGTTTCATGTCGAATCGACGCATAATCTGGCCTAGGCACATCCTTTTCCTGTTTACATGTGGATGATCCACATTTCAATCTGCAGTACCTGCTGTCATCCCACATACCTCTACAACACCTGGAAATATGTTCACCGCGTTTTAGGGACACGATTCGCGGTCCAGATTGGTTGAATGATGAAAGGGGTGGAGGGATCCAATGAAAAGTCAAAATAAGGCGTTCTTCTTCAGGACACGTTCTTTCACAAAATTTTCGGTGTAGAAATTCCATTCACTTTTTTCATGAAAGACTGGGAATGTCCGGTGACGTTTAGTGGACATAATTATGCTTTCGAGGAGTCCCTCGATTTGACAACGTAACATTGGACCTGACTGCGGCTGGTCCACAGTTGAGAGCCGGGAATTGCAAGGTAATTTTTTTTTATAGACGTGGTCTAACGTCGCGAAGGAGGAGAAATGAATCTTCGGAAGATCGTCTCTGAAAACTATGTGTTCGACTAGACAAGCTCGAGTCTGTTGCCCACTGTTGAGAACACTAGAAGATGCTCCTGAAACGTCATATGGAAATGTACCTGAATCGACACGTAGAGAAAATGCAACGAGGAGTCTCCCTTACACATGTATGGTACACCTTGTGTATATGTCGCATTTGACTTTCCTTTGTCGTCCGAGCTTTTAGCCATAATTCGACATCCACCGCCGCAACACATTTGACAATCTTTATCTCGATTTTGGCGTTCCCAAGCAACACTTTCATGCATTTAAATTTCCTTGTCGCATTTGACTTTTTTATTGCCACGTTTTACCTGGAAAACACGTACGCTGTGGCCCACAAAAACCAAAGCTCTAAACTTTGGTAAGTTGTCCATCGGATTGTATGCTGCCAATTTTGATTATATTTGGTAGGCACATCGGGTGATTCAATTGTAAGTGTGCCAGGTTTCAAATAAAAATTGAAAAAAAAACTGAAATTGGCATTTAATTCACATTTCATCACCAAAAATGTGTTCTTTTTTCCTTTCAGCTAAAACTATTTCACAACTGAGAAAATCAAGCAGGTAATTAAACATAACAAAAACAAATCCACAATGCCAAACATGAAAGTCCACAATGTTGTTTAGGGGCGTTCATTTCAACTGAAAAAGTGTATGTGCCCTTCATTCTGTTGAACACTAGTCTCTAGACACGGACACCACAGATGAATGGCTCGGTCAATAAACCTATGAAGCAGTGCCTCCAAATCTTTCTTTGTGGGACCATACAGGGATGGAAATACAGAATTCGGACCTCCCTTTCGTTCCAGTCTCAAGTTCATATTGATATTTTCGGCAGCACATTTTGGAGTTGGTTGCAAGAAAATAATTACAGCTCTTAAATTTTTTGCGTTAGGTGGTTGAAATTTGGTATAATAACTCCAATTGTGGCATCCTACAAGTGTACTAATTTAAATTGAATTGGCAGCCTACAAAGAGATTGATGACTTACCAAATATGACAGCTTTATTTTACTTGGACGGCCCTGAAGTTTCGAAAAGTTATGCATCGATCAAGCTTTAAAAAAAACTCAATGTCTTATTCTCTCAGCTAGAGCATATCATGAATTCAAAAATTCATTCATGTTGAGACACGTCGCGTTGATTCCATGTATTATCCGTATTTATTGAAGCATTGAATGGATTGATGCAACGCAGTTACGGATATTGAAACTTCCTCCTTCCGAAAGGGTCTGCATGCTTCGGTCAAATCACAGACAGTAATAATGCTATCCATCAATCCCTAACGAATGATGCACTGGTATTCCCATAATTCATCACCAGTCATACTTGTGATGTGTGTATTTGAGGCACAGCAGATGCATCTGGAACGCCGGAAATGAATTATTCTGCAAGTGTGCCATCCAAATGCAACTTTCGCTCTCACGACCAAGGAAGTTGCGTTGCAAAGTTCGTGAGTAGATTTGTGCATCTTAAACGCGAGCAAAAAAAGATAAGAAAAAACTCATGATTACTTCACGTAGTCGCCTCTCGCAGATATCAACAGAGATTAAATGGAAGTGGGTGGGGCGAGAACTTCCCCATTGATTCCTGAAATGTTGATGGGGAAAGGGAATTGCTTTTTCCTAATAACGAATTCGATATTGAGGATCACAAAACCTCCGGAATGCAAGCCGCACTGAAGTTGCACTGTTTTTAAATGTGCAGAGAAGGGTGGGCGTGGGGGGAAGCGGGATTGAAGAAAGGAAAGCCATTAGAATTTGATATTCACATTAGTTCATTTCATTACTCATTAAGATGTGAGTTGCAAATTGCGAAAACGACCCATTCGTTGGTCTACAAGGCAACAACATCTACCATTTGTTGGGAGTACCTTTTTAAAAAATACTCCAAGATGGAATAACTATATTTTTGTTCGACCCCACACCATAAGTGCGCGAGGGAAAAAATGCAGTAGGGAAATTCGCATCTAGGAATCAGTGTTCTCCTCAACCCAAGGGGTTGAGAACACTGATTCCGAGGGCCACAATCGGATGAAAAATCGGATGAAGCAACCAAAAACCTATTGATTAGTTTTAAATAGTGAACTGAATTATTTCATATATCATTCGCGAGCCTTCACTCCTAACTCAGTCGTTAAGCTTCTGTCGATTTTTCCAAAGCGTGGCTGAGTACATGGACTAAAAATCGATGCTAGAACTTATTCAATTAAAGAATAATATCATCATGGGATATTCAGATGATAAAAAAATCCTCTAACATGTGGAGTGAGATGCTTGGGGTTCATGAGGATGAGAGTTCTTTCCTCTTCTGATAGAGGAAGGAAAATGCGACATGACAGGACTGGCTTGGGTTGGAAGTCAGGACTCTGGATCCGTTTTCCGGGTCTGTACATGTACGCAGCAGCATCTACGCCTGTGACTGGCGGATAACATCTGTGGATTTCCATATAAGAACGAGCCGCTCTCACCCCATCACCACAAACCCCCTACAACTTCACCAGGAACACTTGATCCTCAACCACAGATTGCTTCCTTCGTACGACGCATACAACAGGTACCCATTTTCTGAGTTTCTGCATCTTCAATAGAGTAAAAGCAAAGAAGATTTTCCAACTGCTCAGTATTGTTAGAGAATTTTTACAAGCCCTATTCAAAAATCCTGTAAACAAAACTCCGCCTGACATACCTGGTATCCTGTAATTTCTGCCCCTTCACGTTCTTCATATCGTCCATTGGAGATTCCCCTACATATATGGAAGAAACCAAAAATATATTGATCTCATAATTAGTTTGGAACACATGATTTCCAATATGTTCCTAGTTTCATGACTTCCTACGGGAACTGATGATACCTTCATGCCACGGTGGCATGGCATTCGGAAAGTTTGCTAGCTTAAATATCGAGTGGGGTAGTTGCTTCAAAAGCTTTACGAAAACCTACAAAAATGTATATATACATATGCATGTTGTATTTAGGTATTAAAGTTTCTAATTGACATGTCGGTCAGTTCACGGTGTCGGATGTGACATCCAGAGTAATATTTTTTAGCATACTCTCCTACCACTCTCTCTTACATTAGAGACTTACCTGTGTATAAAGAAAGTGTCAGACGTGACATTTCGTGAACCTCAACTTAGTCACTGACACTAATATTCACAAATTTGTCATCGAGAGGATCCTAATAATTTGCTTTCATGTTCATTAGATTGAATGAACGCTTGAAATTAGTGTAAGTCACACCAAGATGTCAGCATTTGAAACAGAATGAAAGGCTATTTTGTGACGGTGTCGGATGTGGCAGGAAAGTCTCAGATGTGACATGTTCTGAAAGTGTATTTTGAAACGAGAAGTCTGTACATACATATTAATTTCATTTTGAAAATATCATCCGAATATGAACAATTGCATCTACTCTTCACACCTGAGCTAATTTAAAATTATCAGTATGCACGGAAAACCCATGCTGGCATCTAACCCAATAGTCTAATTCAGTCTCTCCAAATTGGCATTTTCTATATATTTTTCGGTAACCTGAGATTGGTGTGACTAATTGTTCATGACTAATAAATTATGACTAATTATTTCGTTTTCCAAAGTAATATTCTCTTTCATTCATGAATTTTGGGAAAAGAGATTATGAACTTCTGTAGCGAAAGTAATATTTGCATGCTTATAAAAAAATTTTTAGCTAAAATTCTAGGACCACTTTGCGTGGAGAGACCCATGTGATGGTACTGACGAACGCATGCGAACTCATGCAAATCAGAATGGGCGTTAGTATTTGGCATGAATGTGTTGCAGAGTGTGAAGAGAAAATGGGAAAGATCCAGATGGTTGGAATGCTGCTGGCAGTGATAGTGATCATTGCTTGTCTGTGGGAGAGCGTGGATGGTGCTGACAGCTGTCAAGTTGGGGGCACAACAGCCTGCAGTGAGGAGTGCAAGAAGCAGGGTTGCAAGAAGGGAGAATGCCAAGGCGAGAATGGCAGCCAAGCCTGCAAATGCACTGTCTGTCCCGCAGCTTCTTGTAACACGTGTCCTTATTTTTATTTGTATTCATATTGTCGAATATTTTATTGCTGATCGTCAGAATGAGTTGACGATTCCCATCCTCTAAGAATAAATAAATAGGAAATGGATGTGTTACGGTATTGACAATGAGGGCAATTTATTACAAACTTAGGTGCTGCACTTCAGAATGTTGCCAACGTTCCATGTCTTCGGGGACGTTTCTTGACTGTTCAAATATCCCGAATTCATAGCGAACAAAATTGGTTCGAATGATGCGGATTCTCAACGTTCATCCACGACGAAAATAGACACCCGACATTTTCACAGACAAATTTGAAGTGGAGGGCTGTCTGGGAAATCCATTTCCTTCTCCCTCCAGAGATAAAGAATCCATTGATAGAACCAAATTTCACGGTTGAGCTAAAAATCTCCGTTTAGGGTGGATGCATTCAAGAATGTTATGGGTTCTCATTGGGAGTATGCGTTTGTTTATCGCCTGGAATCCATGATTCTGCCTCGAATATAGGGATAATAATTGATTAATTGTCCGATTTTATTGATGGCTATAATGAAACAATAAATTACATTTGGTGAGGTACTAAACACTCCTGTGAGGGATGATTCCAAGGAAGGCGGGAAATACACTTTTGTGTACTTGGCGAAAAGCGAGACCCCATACCGACATATAGTGGCATCTAGTAGAATTCGCCCTATGTCGTACCCACGCAGACCAGCTCTTTCTTGGTCTTCCCCAGTTGGAATGCAGTTGCCCCATAACAGAGACACCCCAGTTGTATGCAAGCTGTTGAATAACAGCTGTAATTCAAGACGCACTAATCGTCTTGATTACTGCTGGATAATCACAGCAGGTAAACACTTGGGAGGTTACTGAGCTTCTTCAGCTGACTTGTCTCGGCTCCTTCGCAGCTGAATCCTTGCTGGAAATAACCAGTTTTATTGTAGCTGATGAGATGTTGCTTTATCCCAGCTGCAGGACAAATGGATTATATCCATATCACTATTTTTCGGCTGTAAGCGTTAATCCCAGCAGTGACACAGTTGGGATTTAAGAGCTGTGTTCATTGAGTTCATCGAGTGTCTCGAGGACGAGGGATTAATCCACATAGGCATAGTTGGTTCGTAGACGGAGGATTGAGTTTCATTTGAAAGAAAAAAGGAAGGCCTGGGCCTGACCAGGAGACAGCCCGTGGTAAGACCTAGGCTTAACGTTACTTAGCTCCATTAGGAAAGAGCGGGAAGGTGGAGTGGGTGGTGAGGTTGAGGTTGAAGAAAAGTAAAACCATTGAAAATTGTTTTTCACATTACTACATTATCAATTCCTGCAGACTCGAATCACAGATTTGCGAACTTGTAATGACAAGAACTCATACGGGGAACCTGGTAATAATATTAGTAACAACATCAGAGACATGTATAACGCCACATACTATTCTCGAAGATATGAGGATAGAAAACTTTCAAAGAGGCAAGCCATAGTAGCATGAATGTGTCATCAGTTTCAGCGAGAAGTCATATTGTTTTTGGAATATACTGAAAATAATTTGTTGCTTTTAAAAATTGACATCAAAATATCCTTTCCTTTAATATACTGTAACTAGCGGCCTGCGGCCGCTACGCTGGCCGTCTAATAGGTGGAAATTTGAACCGTCTATTGTGAGAATAACGTCTCCTTGACAATCCTCTGTTCACCTCATTTCCCATTCAGAACTGAACCGCTTCATTACATGTATACACTTTTAGCTTACAGTACACAGGGAGATTCTGTTCCTAAACACCATCATCATGATTTTCCAGCTGATTCCCACAATCGTTCATTGTGAACGGTTTAGTACGTTTTCATGAGACTCAAGACGACTTTGCTGATTTCGTCTCCCAAGCACATTCAATACTCATGCATCACCGATTAGTTCATGCGCTATTAGCGTTAGCATACAGTACAGACATCAATGATTCTGAAACAGTACGGACCATTTCCAAGAACTTGTTTGAAGGCACAAAGGGAATTTAGTACATGTGCGGCACAATGCTAGCGACTAATTCCAGAAAATCCCTCGCCACCACATTACCCTGAGGCTCTGAAAGTGTTGCTCACTGGTGCCAAAGTGTGAGTTGCAGCAGGAGCATTTTTCCGTTGTGAAACAAATGCCTCCTCCCTACATCAAAATGTACAGCCTGACAGTGCTCNATTTTTCCGTTGTGAAACAAATGCCTCCTCCCTACATCAAAATGTACAGCCTGACAGTGCTCGCTGCGCAAACGACTGTAGTGATTGGAGATGACATGGAGAGGCCTGACAACATGTCCCAAATTCCGTGGTGTAATGGTAGCACACCTGACCGGCAAGCAGGAGGACTGGCTTCAATTCTCGTCCGTCCCCCGGCTCTCGACACCTGAGTGCTGCGTCCCTTGCATCAAGTTGCTCAGCAGGCTACACGGCTCTCTTATTCCGGAGCTCAGGATTCACTGCCTCTTGCTGTTCAGCGGCCCTACGCACATCTGCTTGCTGTTCATCACTGATTCTAGCCATTACGGCTAACACCGAATTAGGCACTTCGCACCGCAACTGCAGTGGCAAACGTTGTATCATACTTAGCTGTATCAAACAGCTAAGTATGAAGCCTACGGCTCAGACTGATATAGCTCGATGGACCTGGCGCTAAAAGCGTTGGATGGCCAAGCCTATGGCCTAGAATAGCATAGCCTCCAGGACATGGCGCTTTGAAGGGTGGATGGCCTAGCCTATGGCATGAAGTGACATAGTCTCGTAGACCTCGCGCGCTGGGGTGACAACCACCTCAACTCCAGATGCATGCCCTGTGGGCCTATATTTGGCGGTTGACGTTTTCAAGTAATTTTTTTGGCTAGTTTTGCCTAGTTTTGAACTGCACCTCCGAGAAGTGTTGCGTTTAAGAAATCTGTGGCTCGTGTGATCAGTTTTTCACTCTCCGCGTTTGAGGGAATAATCTTCAGGAAAGTATGCAGCAGCTGTGCAATGTTCTCATAAAAAGGAGCTAGTTGGTTAGTATCGATGTTTTCAATTAAGTTAACTTTTTTTTAAATAAAGCAAGTAATAAAAATTAGTATGCAGGTTTCATCATGTATCGTTGACCTTCGCGGACCTCGTTTGTTTCTCGATCTGTCTTTCTTTTTCCCTGCCCGGGTCCTGTGATCTCGAGAACTAATGAAAATATCCATGATCTAATCCGCAATTCCAACCGTCTTGTAGGAGAGTAATTGCGCATCCGAAGCACCCCCACCCGTTCCGAACGCGTAACCTTTTTTTTATATCCCAAACTAATCCCCAACACATCATATTATAGCAATATGTGATCCAGTAATAATTGATAGATTTCGATGCAATGAACTCCATTCGTACGACTTGGCCGCCTTAACCCACAGCCCCGCTAACCACCGCCGTGACCCTCACCTCCAGGTTACATTTTTTATATGTCGAAGCGATGAAAAACAATAATGTACCATTAGGGTATTACACAGCTATCGTTCGTGGCCTTCTGTATAAAAAATATTTCCTATTGTTTTCGGGCAACAGCCTTTTGAATTCCCTCCATGAGGGAAAACCCTCATTGAAATAAGTGTCGTGTCGTGTGTAGAATATCCGAAGGGTCTCCAGAAACCCTCAAGGGACGCCTCAAGTTTCAGTGTCACTCAAGAAAGAAGGCAGAAACAAGTAGATCGTTTCCTCCTGTTATCCGCGTTTTTAATCCCCATTCCACTCTCAATCCTCTTTGAGCTTTTCGGTTCTTTGCACCAGGCTCATTCAAGTATTGGTCATTGGCGAAAAATATAAAATGAAATAAAAACTTTCCCGAAATGCAACAAATTGGTAGAGGCAAGCAAATCTTAAAACCAAGTGTATTCACTCCTACCTAAACGTGTATTTTCCCTGTGAACGATTTCCGTTTTGAGAAATCGATAACAGCGTTTCTGGAATATAAATAATTATATTACGAACGCCGATCAGGAAAGACGCAGCCAACAGTTAGAAATCATTGTTCAGTAAATTCCTCACAGCTTTCAAATGAGGCCTTTTTTTAATTTTACCAAGAGTTTAAGACCTATTAATTTCTTTAATTGAAAATTGTAAACTCCAATGCACTGAGAAAATTTTATTTGTTTTGGTAGCCTCCATGTTTTTTGGTAGTATACTCCGTGGTTTAGTCGACAGCCGTGCTCACTCCAGCCACTCGGGTCGAGTCACGTGTCGCGAGCAAGAATCAATCTTTGAAAAGGGAGAGTTCTGTCATTTCCCTCCCGTTCACCGAGCGTATCCATCACTTCTAACAATAATAACCAACCTTTCTCACTTCAACAACAATAACCATCAGCATAATAAGAATCAAATCGATGGCCGACAAATTTTTCTTTGCTCTAAGCACTGATTCAATTAGATTTTTGAGCTCCAATGCGCTGAAATGGCTAAACTTCTTAAAAGAATTGTAAATGTCGCTCAAATGATAGTCGCTCAAAAGAGCATCGCTCAATTGATGTGTCGCTCTTTTGACTGTCGCTCAAATGATGATTGCTCTTTTTCTATACAACCCACAGATTAATACATAGTCACAGGAAGAGAAGAAACATGGGCAACATTATCCGTGTGGTCGCCAAGCTGGTCAAGCCCCTTCTCAAAACCCCGCTCAAGACCCCGCCCAAGACCCCACTCAAGACCCCGCCCAAGAACCCGCCAAAGGGCCCGCCCGAGACCCCGCCAAAGAACACGGCGAGGTGCCGGCGCTCAGTGGCCGAAGAGGAGAGCCTTCTCTTCAGCCCGACCCTACCCGAGGTCCCGGCCTGGGTGCAGGAGAAGCTGCCGACCTCCCTGATTGATGGCCTTGCTACACTGGAGGCAGCATGGACCAACCAGACCACTGTCGATGCCGTCGCCACGACCCAAAACATCAACGCCGTCCTGACCATCTTCCTGGTGCTGAAGCTGATGATGACCGGGCACCAGAGGTCCAAGCCCTACTACGACGAGATCTGCCGTGGCCACAGCCAGCTGCACCGATGCGAGCGGCAGCTGTTTGAGTCGCTCAACAAGTACGGCGATGTGGGAGTGGTGACAGT